GAAGAATGTCCAGACTGAGTTGCATAGACAGAGAAGGGGGTAAGGAAAAAGAGACTTTGAGCTGTTATAAGACCAAGAATGTTTTTATCAAAATTGCTGAGACACAGGAAGACCATGAGTGGGGTACTGATTTAATAAATTAATTAATAATTATTGGATTGGCTTTAGTTCCTACCCTTAAGTCTCTAAAACCACTTGGCACAGTAATTGCTGAAGAAATCTAACCATTTAATGAGGGATTGGGTGTTATCTAAGTTCCCTTTAAAAATATAACACTTTTAAAATATAAATATCTCTTTGTATTCATAAGATAAAACAAATTTTATATTTTGCAGATTCAATATCTGTAACATATATCCATATACAGATAGATAGATGAGGGAATGTACATATTTATTTGAGCCTTGGAATGTCAGGAAGACAACTCGTATCATTTTAAAGTGACAAGGAAGTGTGTTAGTCTAGAAAAAAATGTCTTATGTCAAATGGAAAAATTCATTCCTGATCTTTCTACTTCTCTATCATATTTACATTTAGATTAAATCAACCATTTTGTTTAAAAATAGAGCAAAGGCCCCCTGACTTGTACAAAACAATCCAGTTCTGATTGAGAAGAGTAGCCGTGGCAGAGACCTTTCTGAACACACGGAGATATATGACTGAGTGCTCACCAGTGGGAAAGAGGACAGAGTGATGTGTTACAAACCATCCGAAACAGTTAAGTAAGAGCAGCTAGGACTTCCCCACGTTCTCTCATCTCCCTTCAGCATGACCGGAACCTTGAGAAAGATGGCGGAAGCAGCTCAGATCCCTGAGCCACTGCCATAGAGCCCCAGAGAAAATGACCTGACTTGAATGAGACAGACTGAGACTGAGACAAAGCTCATACATCAGCCTTACTGGAGTAAAGCACCACAACGCGAGAGTGTGTTTGTTAATGCAGTATAGTCTAGCTATCCTGACTAATACACAATGCTATGTCAAATCTAAATACAAATCTTCCTTGATCTGAAGTCAGCTGGGATTCAACTGTATTGCCACAATTTAGACATTATAGAAAACCTAGCAAAAGCTTACTTCTTTACTCATAGGCATTTATCATTTGTAGTCCAATTACAATAGATTAGAAAATAACCAATAAATCGGGCATTTACAAAATGCATAAAATTTTTTAACTACTTTTAAACACCTTCCAGATAATCATCAGTTTAATGAGTAATACTAATTCTCAAGCAATGCTGAAAAATTATTCCTAACAGGTAGTCTGAAACTTATTACAGCCCAGATGATTAATGCTAATTTGGGTTTCAGCAGTTGACATACCATATTACATCAGTTTCAGGTGTACAGCATAGTGGTTAGACATTTATATAACTTTCAATATGATCCCCCAATAAGTCTAGTACCCACCTGGCATCATACTGTTATTACGATATTATTGACTATACTACCTAAACTATACTTTGCATCTCCATGACTATTTTGTAACTGCCAATTTATACTTTTTAATGCCTTCACCTTTTTCACCCAACCCTTCAACCCTCCTTCATCTGGCAACTATCAATGTGTTCTCTGTATCTATGAATCTATTTCCGTTTTGTTTATTTTGTTTTTTATATTCCTCATATAAGTGAGATCATATGGTATTTGTTTTCCTCTGTCTGACTGATTTCAATTAGCATGATATGCTCTAGGTCCATTTATGTTGTTGCAAATGGTAAGATTTCATTTTTTATGGCACAGTAATATTTCATTGTATTATATGGAACATGATATATATTATATATAATATATGAATTCATAATATATATGATTTCATAATATATATTTCATAATATATATTCCACATATATACCACATCTTTATCCAATCGTCTATTGGTAGACACTTAGATTGCTTCTCTATCTTAGCAATTGTGAATAATGTTGCAATAAACATAGGAGTGCATATATCTTTTCTAATTAGTGTTTGGATTTCTTTGGATAAATACCCAGAAGTGGAATTGCTGGGTCATAAGGTCGTTCTATTTTTAATTTTTTGAGGAATCTCCATATCATTTTTCCTAGTGGCTGCATCAATTTGCCATCCCATGAGGATTTTCTTTTCTCCACATCCTCGCCAACATCTGTTGGTTGTTGATTTATTGATGATGGCCATGCAGTGAAAGGTGCTTTAAAGTCTCAGTCTTAGCATCCTGGGTGGTGGCATGGAATACCATCCCTTCCTGAGGCATCAGAATGAACCTTGAAGCTTCCCCTTCCAGTATGACATGAGCTTGGCATTGTATTTAGCTGGTGAGTTACAAATGAATGTACAGTTTTTCCTAAGCCTTGAAAGTTTAATCTCTCTTATGTGAGATAAATCTCAATGAACGTTCAGGGAAAGTTGAATTTAGTGAGAGACTCATGTGTGGGTGTATTACTTCTGTCGAGTAGAAGGTACTAATCAGCAGCGGGATCAGAAAAGCAACCGCCTGGCCAAGATTTGTGCCGATCTCCATATTCTACACCCTCATGAGTAACTTCTGGTTACCAAGTAGTTGTTTTTCCATACACATTATTCAGATACATTCAATGGCATGATAAATGCTTGATATCCACATCAGTATTGTTAAAGCTCTGATCAGCTATCCCAAATCCATCAGGCACACTATTGAAATACTGAAGGCTTGATGTGAAAATCCTTCATACTGTTGCCTAACTAAAATATCTTTGAGTAACACAAAGCACGTGAATTTTATATCTTTACTTTTCCAAATCTCTTTAGTAAATAAATTCAGGGAATGGTGAACGCCATTTTCTTTAATATGTTTGTTTTTTTTTCATGTCTGTTTAATAATTTTTCTCACACAATACCCTACTACATAATTTTCAAAAATCATTTTAGAAGAAATTTTCAGCATCAAAATTTCCACTGAAATTCTATCTATGTTTAGTTAGATTTTTTTCTCGGCCAGTAATATTCATCTGCTACTTATTCCACCAGCAAAACACTGATGCCTGCCTTTATCTAGCAAATATACTCAGTGTTCACTGAACAGAATGTACTTACTGTACAAGCTAAAAAGAGAAACGAAAAGGTGAGCAAGCTTCTACATTCAGGTGCTTCACTAGATTTTCTTTGTGGTTACTGTTTAGTTTTTTATTCCTTCAGTCTGGTTAGTTTTGTGACCAAAATTAAGACACTAATAATGTGTAGATATGGTAAAGTTTGGAGATTGGGTAATTGGGAAAAACTTTCCAAATTCTCTTCAAGATTTTAAAGAAGGAACTCATCACCCTTCTCTTCCCTTCCTCCCCCACATATGCTTCTATTATAGATTGCTATATTTTGAATGTCTTAACACTAAGAGCAATGTGTTATTCATTTGAAACTCCCATATGTCCTAGCCTAGAAGGATACATAGTAGGCACTCAAAAAAAAGTGTTTGATAAATAATTTGAATTGTCTGTTCTTAGCTGACTTTTTCTAAATCATGGAGTGTTATCAATTGTTAATTGCTTCCAACTGGAATATAACAAACATAAAGAAAAATACATGCAAAAAAATAAGTTTGCATATCAACGACTTATTAAAAGCAATATTTGGAAAAACTCCAAGGTCAAAAAAAAATAGAAAATTGCCGACACCTCACAAGCCCCCACTCAGACTGTCTTCCAAATACTACTTTGCCAGAGTCAACCACAGTCCTGACTTCTAACCCTGTAATCTAGTTTTCCCTGTGTAGCAACTTAAATAAATGGGCTCATACTTTATTCTGTTATGCCTGGGTTCTGTCATCCAATGCCACGGTTGTGAGATTATCCAGATTGTTGCACGTAACTCTAGTACATGCAAGAAGCTCTAGATGTAGCTCTAGTTTCGGTGATAGTTGCTGCTGTGTAGTATCCTGTACTAAGAATACACTACAATTTATTTTACATTCTTTCGTCGATAGACATTTGGGTTGTTTGTGCCATGAGCACATATTTGCCAGTTACATGTGTGGCAACTATCATTTTCCACCCCATGGCTTCCTTTGACAGCAAACAATTTTCAATTTTTCTTAAAAAATTGCAAGATATTCTGCTGGACTCTGTAAGAAGGTACATATAAAATGCTACTCAACTATGGGACTGTCGAGGTATTTTTCAGCTTCTGGGACAAACAGAAACTGTACCTGAGGATTGGGGGAAAGGGAATGGTCAGCCATTGTGTGTGTGTGTGTGTCTGTGTGTGTCTCTGTGTGTCTGTGTGTCTGTGCACACACAAGAAATATAGAGTGAGTAGCAGGACACCATGATTCCAAAATTAATATGAGGTTTCAGGTAATTGTTGGACAAATTAAAAATGGCTCTATATTATAAAACCATGAACAAGTGTCTTAATCCACAAACATCTTTTGACTTAGAGGTCCTGGGCACAGAGCATACCATGATGAATAAACGAGCAAAGTCCTTGTCCAGGGAGCTTGGATCTAATTCTATGAAATAAATTGACAGAATTGACACTAAGTTTACTCTATTAAAAATAACTTATTGAAATATGGGAGTTGGTAACATATTTGAATTGTCTGTTCTTAGCTGACATATTTGAATTGTCTGTTCTCAGTCTATGTCCTTGAGTCTCTGTTTGTCCTGTTCATTTGTTGCTTGTAGGTTTATATCTCAAAAGAAGAGAAACAAAAGAAAAAAAAATATTTTACAGCAGGTACTTTTACCATCTGAGTTTGTTTTTTTTTTTTAATTTATATTAAAAGGGAAGAGAGGGATGAACAGTTTGAAAGATAAGAATGCAGGTCATTTTACAGGGAACGTTTCCCTTGCTGCGATCGCTGCTTCTGGTGTTTTCCGCCAGAACAGAGCTTGATTTTGAAGAGCTCACATGTCAGCCTCTCCTGGTCTATATGGTTTATCAAGAAAGCAGCTACACAGTTGACATAGGGGGATAAAAGGACCTAAAAGCATCGCTAAGTCTGGATGATAGAAAGATTCCAATGGTTTGAAGAATGAGTTCGCTCCTCATAAAAAGCCATAGAATCCATATCCTCCATAGCATGATGGGCGGCAGCAGCCATACCCCATCCCGTAGCCTCCGTAGCCACAGCCGTAGCCCAGTCCACAGAAGCTGCCACATCCACAGCCATAGCCACCGCCCAGGCCACTGAAGCCTCCACAGCTGTAGCCCAGGTCTCCGTAGTAAAGCCGTGGCAGCTCATGGTGTCAGTAACTGTAGATTTGTTTGGATATCAAGGGCAATTTCCCAAGTATAACGATCACTAAATCCTCTGGGACTTACATACCCTCAGTGATGGTTGGGGCAAGGCACGCAGACTTGCACAATTCTCATCAAATGGATTAAATTGCACAACAAAAATCTCATCCATCTTAATTGTGTAAAAATTTCCCGACACTAATTAAAGATGTTTTCATTTGATTTCTACGCAGTTTGGATTCCACAGGGTAATTATGCTATCTTCAAAGCCCTCTCTCTTTGACCCTCGTATTTAAAGCTCTATAATCAGACATCATCACAGCATCAATCACTTCCAATTTCATCACCTGGAATTGTTCATTCATTAAAGCCCCTTCCCAGCATCTCTGGACCTTTACTTAGTAATTTATTCATTTCACAAATATTTAATGATCACCTAATAATGTATCCGAGGCACTATGCTTGGAGCTAAAGATAACAGTTGCAAATAAGAGCTGCCCTTCCCAATCTCTGAGTTTATCTACTTTATCTTTCTTATGCGAGGTAATGAAAGAGCAAACACTTCCTGTATAAATCCAACAAAAGGCAGATGACAGCACCAGAGGACCAAATTTATTTTTTTGAGAGAGAAAAACAAAACCAAATGGCAAAGGTTTGTTTCCTTACACATTATTTATAACTTTTGCTCCATGTTGTTTATGAAACTTTTGATGTCTCCTAGCTCTTACCGCAAGATTTTTTCCATGATTAAATCTTTATATAGAAGATACCACTGGGTGCAAATGTTGTGGGAAGTTTTTATGCAAAGTAATGCCATATTCTTCATCATCATCATCTTCACCTTCTTTTTTATGAAAGGCTTTTCTAAAAAGATTAACATTCAGGCACAGGCTCCACCTACCTGACTGCATGCCACACGCGAAAGCAGGCAACCCTCTCTGCTCCACTAAATTCCTAACGCAACCAGCAAAGAGGTTGAAAAAAAGTCGTTTTTCAAATTCTGAGATTCCATCATCTTTCTGATTTCTTAAGAAACCCTAATTCTACTATATATTATTTATCAAAATATGAACCAGTAAAATAAAAAATAATTAGATATAGTCTCTTTTTAAAAATGAAGTCCACTAAAGTGTTCATGGTATGGCGTTGGAATCGACCCTAATTAGTCATTTATTCAAAATCAATGTTAAAAAAAAAAACAGCAATCGAAATATTTTATATAATGTTAATAATGGCTCCAGAGAGAGTCTTACAGTATTAGAGCTGGCTTAGCATTCTCATTTTGTAGTTGATGAAACTGAGATTTACAGATTGGCTCAGATCAACCAGTGAGTGGCAAAGCCCAGACTAGAACCTAGGTCATTTATCTCCATCCCTTTCATTTTCTGTTTTGCCACAGTCCCTTCATCACACTTTTATAGATGTTGTACAACATGGATAAAGCAAGAAATTTCATTATCACAGTGGAAGAATGACACCTCTCCCTTGCTTTCTCTGTTGGTGAGCTTCCCAATTCTGACTTTTGATCTGTCTGCTGATTGGCATTTCCTTTCTTCTTGGCTGGAATTCAAGGGCTAAAATTAGAGAGTGAAAACTGAAAGCGATATCCACTTATTCTCAACAAGATTACAATCAAGATGATTGTCGCATTGATTGTTCAAGAGATGGAAGACTGAGAAAGAAGAGCGGAAATAAGCCCAAACATTTTAGAGTGGAAAATTGAGAATCCAGACCAAGATGACAACATAGGAGGCTCCTGAATGTCCTCCTCCTACGTGCACACTAAATATACAACTACGGAAGGAGCAATCCCTCTGAGAGAAATCCAGAAACTAGCTGAGTGACTCCGACACATTGGGTGAGTGAGAAAATACCCACATTGAAATGGGTAGGAAAGACAGAGACACACTCTCACCATAACCTTACCCTGGCCACAGTGCCTTGCAGTCAGGAGGGAACACCCAACTCCCAGGTTCCTCCAGGAGTGAAACATCTAGCACCCCACTTTTTAAGGTTCCCACTCAGGGAATGAGCCCCCAAAACACTTAGCTTTGAACACTAACAAATCCCACAGGACTATAGCAAACAAAAAAGCATGAGTACTTGCTGCAATCATCTGCCCAGAACTCAGGATAGAGAGCAGACAGAATCACCCATCTCCCAATGAGTCCATGCAAGGGGATTGACTGCGTGCTTTACAAGCTGATGCCTGAGGATCCAGTTCCTAATGGGCACAAATCCAGGTGCAGACTGCAACCCTCCCCTGAAGCCCAAAAGAACTGATGGCCCTTCCCCCACCTTCTCCCACTGTCTTGCTCAACGAAAAACCAAGCCACCAGCATCTCCCTAGGAGGAGCTTGTCCACACATCTAGAGCTTCAACTTTTATGGTTACTACCCAAGGGTCAGGCCTACAAATCACTCAGCTCTGATAGCTAAGGGGGCTTACATCCTAAGTCCTATAGAACTATAATAAAGAAGCAAGATTTTTAATTGAAATATAATTGACAAAGAATCTTATATTAGCTTCACGTGTACAACATAACGATTTGATATGTGTGTACATTGCAAAATGATCACAACAACAGTCTATGCATCACCACACATAGTTAGTTACAAATGTTTTTTTCTTGTCATGAGAACTTTTAAGACCTACTCTCTTGGTAACTTTCAAATACACAATACAATATTGTTTACTATAGTCACCATGCTGTGTGTTACATCCCAGGACTTATAACTATAAGTTTGTACCTTTTGACCACCTTCACCCATTTTCCCAGCCCTTCTACCCCCACCTCTGGCAACCACCAGTATGTTCTCCGTATCTATAAGTTAGGTTTTTTGTTTGGTTGGTTTTGGTTTTTTAAATTCCACATATAAATAAAGTCATACAGTATTTATGTTTCTGTGTGTAATTTATTCCACTTTGTTTAATGTCCTCGAGGTTCAGCCATGCTGTTGCAAATAACAGGATTTCCTTCTTTTTACGGCTGAATACTATTCTATTGTGTATATGTGAGATAGATATAGATATAGATATAGATATAGATATAGATATAGATATAGATATAGATATATCTTTTCAAATTAGCATTTTCATTATATACACAAACATATATATATATATATGTTCTTATCTATCAATGGACACTTAGGTTATTCCATGTCTTGGCTACTGTAAATAATGCTGTAATGAACATGGGGGTATATATACGTTTTCAAGTTAAGTGTTTTTATTTTCTTCAGATAAATACTCAGAAGTGGAATGGAATGGCTGGATCATAAGGTAGCCTTTATATTCCCATATTTATCAGCGACTGGCCGTCAGCATGAGCTTGGAGGTGGCTTCTCTGCTGAGCCAGTCCTTAAGAGAACGACATCTGAAAGCTGTCCATGCGTCATACTCCCAGCAGGCAGGGATCTGGGCTACGCATCATGGCGCTGACTCCACACACTACCCCAGCCTTCCGTGACAGATGCTGCCATGCACGGCCTTTACTGCTCAGACCTCCAATGTGGGCAGTCCTCACAGACAGAATCGAGATCACTGCGCCTGCCTTTTTGCTGAACCACGGAAGCAAGACCAGTTGGAAGTGCTAGGAAATGAAAGATCACCACCATCCAACCCTCTCGCAGCCTTTAATCACTGACTCTTGGGAGTGAATAAACACCTTCAGTGATATCGTTCTGATATGTGTGCTTTACACTGTTCCTTCAGTTTCCATGTGAGATTAAGTTCCTGTCGCCCACTGCAATAACTGTGTTAATAATTCACCCATAATTGGCCACCTTCCTTTTCGTTTCTCATTTTCCCACTCCTCTACCAGTGTTCTGGTCCCTCCCAAATAAACTACTTGTACTCAAATTTCTGTCTCAGGATCAGCTTTGGGGAGAAACCAAAAGAAAGCCTTCCCATAGCCCAAACCATTTTTGGTAGACTCAGATGATAGAGTTCCTTCGATTAAGGCTGATCGGTGGAGATTAGTGCTGCGGGAAGACGGATGATATAGTAGAGAGAATTCCTTTCCAGGAAGGAAAATAAAATGCAAGACCTACTTTGTTTGATGAAATGAAATATAAAAGGTAAGGGTGGAGGGAGAAGCTGGAGACGCAGGTCCTCACCCTCCCATCTCAGAGTAAAAGTCTGTAGAGTGAGGACACATCCAGGCAGGTACCATTGGGGAAATCTGATTAAAAACAAAATCTCTCCCAACCCAGAAAACCTCTCCCCAAAGGGAAAAGAGAAATAAAACAATTTTATTACTGAATAAGCATTAAACCAAAATTAGTGCCTATTGCAGGCAAATCATGAAGATGGAAGGAAATCTCACCATTTTACAGAGCCAAGGAGATGCAGCCCATGACATGCACGTTCTTAGGATAAGCAATAACTGCTCCTCTATAAGAGGACCTGACAGCATCATTTGTCACACACAGATCATCCTAGATTCACCTCGTAACTGAGGTAGCCGTTTGTGCTTGCTAATTCTCTTTATCCAAAGGAAAAATTAACTTCTCACATCTTTATGACAGGAGGTCATTTTGGATTGAGACGCTTGCCAAAGTTAGGATGCTACCCTCTCAAGAAATTAGGAGATGTGACACTTGAGAAAGACATTCCTGGGTCATAAAGCTGAAAAAGGGCTTATTCGGATTTTTTTTTTTTTTAATTTAAATGCATTTCAAACACACAGAGAAAGAATTTGCAGTTACAAGTTTTCTGAAGTAAATGCTCTAAGAAAAAGATCACTTCCCTTATTTTCAACAGAGAATTAAGAACCTTGTTTTTATGTGTATGCCCCTTTACAGTACAAGGGAACCCCAACACTTAGAGGCCTTCCTTCCTGGCAAGGGATAGTCACAGGCTTCTCTTGGTGATATCCTAGTGAACAGGAGAGCTACAGAAAACAAGATTAGAGAGAACCAGCAGTAAGATCTAGCTGCCCCTTGTCACATGTTATAGGGCTTGGCTTTTACTGTAAGATGAAAAGTCAGTAAAGGGTTTCGATCAGATGAGTGACAGGTCTGACTTACATTTTAGAGTCACTTATCATAAAATTGATAAGTAGAACTGATTGAGCAGGACTTTATTCTCAGGAAGCCTGTGGATGTGAAAGGACATACAGAAGAAACAAAGCTTTGCCTTGAGGTTGTTTACTCTACCGATGGAGAGATAACAGGAAAAAGCTATCCTTAATAACATGAGGTCACACGGGTTTATCTGCCCAAATGACAGCAGTCATTGCACAGAAAGGCTAGAAGAACAGAATGCAGAGGAAAGGGAAGACACTGAAGACTGGAGTAGTCACAGAGTACATCAGAGAGGAGAAGGGGTTTGAGCTGTGCACTGAAGGATGGTACTAGCTGAGTGATGGAGCAGCAAACAGCATAAATTAAGGGCCAGCGATCACTCTGAATAGAGCCTCTTTGGAGTAGGTTGAGAAAAATTAACAAATTAAGGTTGCAGAGGTGTGGTACCATGGACACCAGTGTTACTGATAAAGTATTGTGAACAGACCCTCAAAGAATTGACTAGCAGAAATGTACCCCTTCTCTGCTCTGACATCTTATTCCTACTGGAATAGAACAGCCGTACACTTGCATAATGGCCTCCTTGTTACTTCATACTAATCGGATGGGTTTAACAAAAAGTAATTATAACATTATTTTTAATTACTTCTGCCATTTCTTCTTTAGCTCATTTTTCTCTCCCTATCCTTTAGATAAACATTCACCCTCATTGTGGGTAAAATTTAAATAATTTGGGACCTTAGAGCAAAATGTCATTTTCTAGCAGGAGGAGGACTAGGGCTTCAAAAGAGACAAAAATGGAAATTATAATGGTTAATTTTATGTGTCAACCTGGCTGGACCACAGAGTGCCAGATATGTGGTCAAACATTATTTTGCATATTCCTGTTAGAGGGTTTTGGAGGAGATTAACATTTTATTCAGTAGATTGAGTAAATGTGGGTGGGCCTTGTCAAATCAGTTGAAGGCCTAAATAGAACGAAAAGGCCTTCCCTCCCCCAAGAAAGGGAGAACTTCTGCCTGACTGCATTTGAACTGAAACAGCGTTGTTGTTTTTTCCCTGCCTTCAAATTCGAACTGAAACATTGACTCTTGCTGGCTATTGAGCCTGCTGGCCTATGGCCAGGAACTACACCATCAGCTCTCCTGGGTCTGCAGCTTGCTCATTCACCCTGAGGAGCTTGAGACTTGTCAGCCTCCATAATCACATGAGCCAACTCCTTATATAAATCTAGATAGATAGATGATAAATCGCTATATAGACAGATTGATAACAAAAAAGAGTATATGCGTATGTGTGTATATATCATATATATATATATATATTATATATATATCATATGTCAGTGTTTTTCAGAGAAACAGACCATAAGAGATATAGGATATATATGATATATATATGATATACATATGTATATGATATATGTATATATCATATACATATGTATACATATGATATATGTATATATCATATATATCATAAATATTCTATATCTCTTATGATCTGTTTCTCTGAGAAACAGTGACTAAAACAGAAATGTATCTAAAACCATTGCCCTTCCTGCATCTGTGATGTTGGTCACCAAGAAGTTGAGGACAGTGAACGCATAAGAAGGCAGAAAAAGATGCTGTCACACCAGAACTTATGAAAGTATCTGGGGCTTTCCTCAGGTACAGACTAGGGGATCACCTATTTGCATGATGTGATAAACATCAGGAAGTCAATAAAATCTCCCAAGATTCTTCTAGGTAATGTCAACTTGGAGCCTGAGGGACTAAGACTGGAAAACTGGAGGAGGGAACTCTCTGAACCAGTAACCATTGAGTACAGTTGGAGAAGCCACCTGGCTACAGCAGAGCCTTCCAGGAAGAGTGACAGACACAACCGAATACATCCTGGGGCAGGCCATGGGAAGCCTTGGACACTTACCTGAGGACATTTTTCTGTAACATTGGCAATCATGTATACGACTTTCATTGAATGCTTACTCAGTGACAGACACTGTGCCTAGGGCTTCCTGTCCTTTGTCTCCTGTAATCCTCAAAATGACTTTGGAAGTAAAAATTATTGCCCCATCTTTCAGATGAGGGAACAGAGATCTAATGAGGGTAAGTGGGAAGTTAGAGATAAAGAGATTTAGGATCTGAGACTCTTAGTGTAAATGAATTCTTCCAAGAAATGTGTAGAGCTGTGTCTGGCATGTGACGAGTTCAATAAAAGGAAATTACTATTTTCACACTGTCATCGTCATCACCATTATTAACTGTATTCTTCCATCATTACTAATAGCATATCGACCGAATTTCTCTGGCTCGAATAAGGCTAAAATGCTAAAGATCACTCAGTAGACGGCTTTCAAATCCAAAGCTACCTGAAAATATCTTTCTTAAAGTGTTCTCTGCTACAGGTGTGAGAGGGGTTTGAGAGTCTTCGTTAGCTTGAGAAAGAAACAACGATCATTCCCACGCAGAAGTGTGATTCGGAACATCTTGCTAGTTTCTCCCTGTCCTCCATAGCTCTTTCCTGTGTCCCATTTCCACATATCTCCTGACTTCCACAGCTAAGCTCAAGGGTATCCATTGGCTACCTAGATAGAGTTTTGCCTGCAACCTCTTCATAGACTCTAATCTAGAGGTTACTCAAGGCACATATTAGGCACTAAATAGTTACTCACGTAAAGTGAGTCATTTTCTCTACCACCTCCTCCCTCCCTGCATTCGAGAGAGTAATTTGGAGTTGACCATGTAGCTATCATAAACGACCACCTATTTTGTTTTAATTATATTTTATCTTTGACATCTACTCAGAAGAAATGGAGAAATGCCCATTAAATTATTTTTTCGGCCCATGTGCCATGAGAACCTGATTACACTGGAATCACTTTCTAGCCATTGCCATTTATTATATTTTTTTCCTTTTGGATGGCTGTTATGGTCCTGTTGCTGTTTTTCCTCTCTAGGCAGTAGAGTTGGACTGAAATATATTAGTTGTTACACATATATCTTGCAAGTTGCTTATTCCTGTTCCCACTTCAGTCCTGATTAAATTCAACATGAACTTTGGCCTTGGATGAAAAGAGAAGCAAACTTCACAGCGCCCCTTGAATTTATGAGGCTGCGACATGATTTGTTGCAATGGGAGATTGGGGCTGCCATGTGAATGAAGAAGCTCGCGTGACCTTCACCTCTGACACTGGCAGTCACAAGGGAGTCACAGCTAGGTCTGAGTTCCTCAAAAGAGGCTGCATCATGATTCTCAGAATCTGGATCTTATATTAATATGCCATCTGTTCTTGGTGCATTGAGAGGGGAAGAGGAAATAAGTCTACATCGCTCATCATCTATTACCAGTCCAGTCATAGTACTAGACACTGAACAGTGTACCTCATTTAAACTTATAACAACACAGTGGACAGGTTTTATAAAAACCTGTCTTAGAGATAAGAAAGCTGATGTGGAAGCTACAGAACATGGCCAAGACCACACAGCTCCAATTAAAGAAGCAGAATGGGGTTTTGACCCCAAGACTGTGATTACAAATCATGGATTATTTCTCTGCATATAGCCAAGAAGTCTAGAGAAGAGAAATGTGTTACACAATGAAGTAAAGCTTGGAAAAGGGAAAGTGGTCCACCTGGCGAAG